ACTCCCCTGGGGTTAATAGCCGGAATGCAATTCTGCATCACCGACTGCCTCTCTGATCATGACTCAGGGCCCTGATTCACGCTGAGATGAGTGAGTGGCCAAGAAAACATGGCCCAGACTAACGACTCCCTTTTACCCGCTTTTGCTCCCATCTCTCTGGAGACAGTGCAACTGGTAAAAAGAATGTGTGGGCTCAGGGGTCAGAACGTCTCGGATCCAAATCTCACCTTTGCCTCTTGGCAGCGGTGTGACCTTCGGCAAGTCACTGAATCTTCTGCTCAGGCATAAAATGTGACAAGTCAGAAGTGCTCGGGGCGGGGGGGGGGGGGGTGGCGCAGAGCAGACAGTCAGTGATCACGGGTAATGTCCTCGGCGTGTGGTCTAATGCAGTCCCCACCATAGCAATGCTGTGAGGAAGACTCTACATGGCACATTTGAAAAAGCTTCACTTCAGGGCCATGTACAGTGGCTCAGGTCTGTAATTCTAGCACTTTGGAGAACCAAGGCAGGACGATCGCCTGAGCCCAGAAATTTGAGACCAGCCTGGGCAACACAGCGAGACCTCCGTCTCTACAAAAAATATTTAAAAATTCGCAGGCGTGGTGGCACATGCTTGTAGTCCCAGTTCCTGGGGCCCAGGAGACTGAGACTGCTGAGAGCTACGATTTCCACTGTGCTCCAGCCTGGACGACAGAGTGAAACCCGGTCTTTAAAAAATGAAAATTAATAGAACAAAATTATATAAAATAAATAAAATTAAAAGCTTTGCTCCCACTGCAGCAGGGGGTTCTTGGGACACAGGCCAGAAGCAGACACTCTTCCTGCCACTTCTGTTTCTTCCAGGAGAGAGTATGCAATGCTAGTGCCTGGAGTCTGATTCTTGGCTGCTGGGAGCTACTTGACTTGTGCTCGGATCTCACATGCCCAAAATAACTAACTTTCAGAGGCAGATTAAATCCAAATGAAGCCTTTTCTTGGCCTGCTCAAGGACTCTCACTGACCCCAAAGAATCCTTTCTATGTCAAAGCAAAGAGGACCCTCTGTGTCAGCTTTTGGAATTATTTTCTGATGAGTGCCCCTGCTGTGGGTGTCCATTTCAACTTCAAACTCTCATCTGTTAGTGATATTTTCCGCCTCAGCTTGGCTTCGCTGACTAAGGAGATGCTACAGTATTAATCGATTTCAAGGTTTTTGAACAAATAGCCATAAATACTTAAGCCTCCGCTTTGCCTATTAAGGAAAATGTCATGTGAGATAATGATTTTGTCTCTGCCTGACAGGAGTATTTGCACAGAAGACAGGATTATTTTAACCTCTCTGCACATTTGGAAACCTTGAATCTATCTGGTCTTTCTCTATACTGCAAGTAGTCGTGTGGCCAAATATGCCAAATTCTGAGTACTTATGAGGAAAAAATGCTAGCAAAAGCTGAAACAGGCCAGGCATGTAGGTGGTGGCACACACCTGTGGTACCAGCTACCCAGGAACTGAGGCAGGAGGATCCCCTGAGCCCAGGAGGTTGAGGCTGCAGCGAGTTACGGCACTCCAGTCTAGGCAGCAGAGTGTGACTCTGTCGCCAAAAAAAAAAAAAAAAAGGCTGGGTGTGGTAGCTCACAGCCATGATGCCAGCACTTTGAGAGGCAGAAGTGGGTGGATCATCTGTGATCAGAAGTTCAAGACCAGCCTGGCCAACATGGTGAAACCCTGTCTCTACTAAAAATACAAAAATTAGCCGGGCTTGGTGGTAGGTGCCTGTAATCCCAGCTACTTGGGAGGTTAAGGCAGGAGAATCGCTTGAACCTGGAAGGTGGAGGTTGCAGTGAGCTGAGATTGTGCCACTGCACTCCAGCCTGGGTGACAGAGTGAGACTCCATTTCAAAAGAAAAAAAAAAAAAAAGCCAACAAAAAAGGTCAAAGAACCTAAAGTGATTATCAACGGATTTTCCAAAGCAGCAGCAGCTGACGTTTTCAGCGAAAGCCAACTGGAATCCACAGACAGATTTTTGTTTCTGCTGGTCAGTATGAATGTCAATTCTTAACAACTAAAAGCACATGGAGGGCAAGGGCCATCTGAGGTATGTCTGCATCCCTTGTGGCACCATGCTTGCACACAGTAAGCACACAGAGTGCTGTCTGGACATGTAAATTGCTCAAAGTTTTGAGCAGTTTAGTGTAGTGAGCAGTGCCAAGGTTTGGAGGTGACCTGAGCTTGGGATGGAAGACTAATTGTGGCGTATCTCAGTAACGCGGTCTGAGACACATTACTTACCGCCTCTGTCATTTCATCTGAAACACAGGCCTGATGCTACCTCCCTATGGGGCTTGTCATGAGGATTAAATGAGAGAAAGTTTATATTATTTATCTATTTTTTTTTTTTTTTTGGAGAAGGTGTCTCACTCTGTTGCCCAGGCTGGAGTGCAGTGGCACAATCTCAGCTCACTGAAACCTCTGCTTCCCAGGTTCAAGTGATTCTCCTGCCTCAGCCTCCTGAGTCGATGGGATTATAGGTGCCCACCACCAAGCCTGGCTAATTTTTGTATTTTTTAGTAGAGATGGGGTTTCATCACATTGGCCAGGTTGGTCTCAAACTCCCACCTCCAGTGATCCACCTGCTTCGGCCTCCCAGAGCACTTGGATTATAGGAGTAAGCCACCACACCCACAGCCAAAAGAAAGTTTATCATGTGCCTGGCACATGGTAGACAATAGGTGGTGGTCACTTCCTTTATTATTGCTTGTACAGTAGATGTAAGGAAGGAAATGAAGGTTTCAGATGTGAAAGTATCTACAGTGACAGCAGGGTATTCTCTGCATACAAAGAGGCCCAAAGTTACCAAGACATGCCAGAAGTTTGTTTTGGTGTCCCTGTTGAGGATGGTGAGGGGGTTCTCCAACACATGTTAAGGGTGACAGACTGACTAAGTCCCCTCTCCCCACAGATGTCCACAGCCTCATCCCTGGAACCTGTGAATATATTACCTTTATGCAGTAGAAAGGATTTTGCTGATGTCAGTTAAGGATCTTGGGCTAGGGAGATGATCCTGGATTATCCAAGGAGGCCCCAAAGAATCCCAAAGATTCCTGTGTGAGAAGGGGGAGGCTGGGGCATTATAGTCGGAAAAGACAGAGCAATAGGAAGATGCTACGTTGCACGGAGGAGGGAAGAAGGCACCACGAGCCAAGGAATGCAGGCGGCCTCTAGACGCTGAAAAAGGCATGGAGGGCAACAGGTTCTCCCCCAAAGCTTCCAGAAGAAATCGGCCCTGCCTGCAGTTTGACTCTAGCCCAGTGAGACTGATTCTAGACTTCTGATCTCCAGAACCCCAAGATAATACATTTGAGTTACTTTCAACTGCCGAGTTTGCGGTTATCTGTTACAGTGGCAACAGGAACTTGTACGGTGAATGATGACAAACCACAACAACAAGAAAAAGACACTCAAATGGACAGACCTGAATGATACGGAAAGCTTCATCTCGCTGGACACTGCTGTTCCTGGTGTTATTAGATAGCCGGGGTATTACTGACTACGAGGAGCTATTTGTTGGAACAGGAGAGACCTGGTCTTAATAGAGATGAGGTTCAATGCTACCTTTATTCCTAAAAATGTTGCCATTCCCCGTCGCTATGCTTTTATAGCATCTGCTGAATTGTTAAATGAAGCTGAATGGCTCATAATCACAGCCTGCTTAATACCTGTCATCTGGTAACAGGCTTCTGAATAAATACTACATCAAAAGGTTATATTTCTTGCAGTACCCTGTCTATTCTTCACACTTGAAAAATACGACTACTTAATTTCACCTCATGTCTGGAGGTACTAGAAAGTGAGTTCTTTTTGGGGGAAAATCCCAATAAGTTATGCATCAAGATAACCTATTACCTCTGGCCATGCGATTCAGAATTTAAATTTCTAAATGAAGTCTGCGTTTCCACACTGTCTTCAAACATCATAAAAGTAAAGGGTCTCCACGAGGGAATAAAAATCAGCTTCCCTTTTGGAATAATGACTACAGAGGGTCTACTAGATGCAAAATGTTGTATTAGGCCCTTTAGTCCAAATGGCAGTTCTACGAGGAGGAGATTATCCCTAATGTGCTGCTAAAGAAACGGGATTCAGAGACATTGAGTAACTCACCTGAGTTCTCAGAGCCTGTAAATAATACATTCCAGATTGAAGGTCACACTAGTCTGACATCTGAGCTTGTGGGTGCCTTTTTCACTATGTCTACTGTCTCTGAGATAAAGGCATGGGGTAATATGCTGAATAAATGTGGGACTGGCTGCCCACAGCTCATCTGAGGGCCCCAGGAAGAGCTTAAGCCAGCCCAGCTTTGAATCCACTGGTCTCTGCCATGCTGCGGTTCAGATGGGAAGGACACTGTGGCATCCACAGGACTGTGTGTGGATGGAAAGCTGGCTCTACAGGGACTACAGTGAGAGCCCCATCTACCACTGGCATGTAGGTTGTTTCATAAAACAGGAAAAAAAAAATCTTCAGTAAGTGTTGTAACAAAAACAGAGCAGCATGGCCGCCGCTGTAAAGACACAAGTCCTGGAGCCATCTTGCTTAGAACCACACAGATACATTCTTCCTAGACCAGAAAACATGCAGTTTAGACAGTCGTCACTCCAGTGTTGCTAAAACGCCACCACTGCAACCACCTTCTCACCCCGCTTTTCCAGGCAGAGTATTTTTTCACCATCAATTCCCTCCACTCAGCAGTGTTTCTGAAATGATTTTGATCACAACCAGCTAAGAAATGCATTTTATCACACGCTGCCTCACATGGAGCAAACCACCGTTCCAGGAACCAAGACACGGCCCCTTACTACTGCCATGAGCTCTCCTACCTCCTCTTTCTGTTTTGTCCTGTTTGGTCCATTCAGTGGTCCTGACCATGCACTGACTTCATTCGCCAGTGACCCAGATCCCTGTGAGAGGGTCATGTTTACAGTTTGCAAGTCCAGGTCTAGAAAATGAGTGCTGGGGTTCCTACCTCCGGGGCGATATAATCTGGGGTCCCACAGAAGGTCCTGGTCGTGACTCCATCCATCATGTGTTCCTTGCACATCCCAAAGTCAGCAATTTTGATATGTCCTTCTGAATCCAACATGACGTTATCTAACTTCAGATCCCTGCAAGGAACCAGGTTAACATCAGAGTCCTTCCCATGACATAACACGGTGTGCTTTGGAGCTGGTGAAACAGAAGGTTATTTGAATACCTGTCAGCTCAGTGGCAATATTCACTCTATGTCCCTGGAGAGCAGCATCAGGAGTTACTGTGCGTTGACATCTTCAGTGCCTAATATTGTGCCTGGGCTATGGCATGTGCTTACATGCATACTGAGTGAATGACTAAATGACTGGACTAGTGATGCCCAATCTTACCTGTGCCTGTGAATCTAGAGATTCCAACGAAGCATGTTTGGGGAAGTCCCAATCATTTCATTTATTCATGTCCCACACGGGGATCTGACACAAAACCAGGTTTGCAAAATCACAGGTTCAGAACCACCTCACTGGCTCATACGCATGTCCCTTCCACTGCCTTATGCCCTGTATCATTTTAACTATGCCTCAATTAATACTGGAAGACATTCTTCCTTCTTTGGGGCCAGACTTTCAGCGCAGCTAATAACAGGAAGAACTTTTTTTTTTTTTTTTTACCCCCAGACCAAGTCTCACTCTCTCACCCAGGCTGGAGTGCAGTGGTGCAATCTCGGCTCGCTGTAACCTCTGCCTCCTGGGTTCAAATGATTTTCCTGCCTTAGCCTCCCGAGTAGCTGGGATTACAGGTGTGCACCACCACTCCTGGCTAATTTTTGTATTTTTAGTAGAGATGGGGTTTCACCATGTTGGTCAGGCTGGTCTCAAACTTCTGACCTCATGATCCACCCACCTTGGCCTCCCAAAGTGCTGGGATTACAGGGGTGAGCCATCGTGTCTGGCCCATAACAGGAAGAATTTGATGCAATAGTTTTTTCCTTGCCTCTCCTCGGTTCCCTGTCTTCTTCTTTGGCTGAATATCTATAACAGAAATTCCATTTCCATTGCTCCCTGACCTCCATTCCAAATAAAAGGCAGTGGAAGGAGCTGTCGTTGGAGAGAAAAATGTGCTTTCTTGCAGGAAAAGTAGAAACAAGATATAAAATCTTTCAGGTCTGGAAATCAGAAGGTGGCTGTGATTTGCCTCCAGGCTGAGGAGGAAAATGAGTCCCAGCAGGTCTCTGTTCCTCCTGGGGGGGATTTCAACTCTGTGTCTTAAGTCACCGTCCCAGAATAACATGCCCACAGAGGCCCAGCTAACCTCTCTGCTGAGCTGCTGGTAGAAGGGCTTCAATACACACCTATAAATGATTCCTCTTTTATGAAGGAAGAACAATCCAATGGAAATCTCTGCCGCATAGAATCTGCAAAAGAAAACAGGCTTCAGGTTTCTTACTTGCTTCTTTAGATGGCTGTATACTTTTCATCCTCAAGTTCAAGCATCCAAGAGAGAAAAGAATGTCAGACCCAAAGGCTTTCAGAGACCAGCATCACTTGAACATGTTCTTCCCACCCCGGGTCCTCCCTCCATCACTTCATCCTCCAGCTCATCCATGAATGAGACAGCTCATAAAGCCGATGAGGCTGGCTTCTTATTCTTGTGTGGGGAAGGTGGACGAGTAGCTTATCACCTGCAGAGTAATTTCTAATACAATCATTTAAAGAATGGATACCAGTTAGATTATTCTATGTCAGGAGTATGGCAGAGTAGAGAAAATTTCCATTTTCCTATTCACCGACAGAATACACTGGTGTTTGAAAATATAATGCAATTACGCCCTGGAAGGCAAAGGATAGTGGGTAATGAATGCTTTAGCTAGTTTTTCCACTCCTTCCAAGTGTTGGAGTAAATGAGACACACATCATGATTCATATCTGTGTTTACCCTTTTAAATAATTCATAATAAAAAGCAGTAACTATCATCCCTTCAAAATTGTTAATAGGTTAATAGCTGAAACTCAGATTAAAAGGGAGTATTTTAAAATCTGCATCGCATTTAGGAGTCTTTGAAGTCCAAGAAGCCACAAGACTGTGCCTGTGCAAATACCACATGCAGGAGGCTTAAAATAAGCACACTTGTCTGCATGAGCAGAGGAAAAAATCTCTAATGACTAAGAGCAAACCCTTAAAGAGGGGTCGCCTCTGAAGGCTAGAAGAGTACAGGAAGCGGGAGAAGGAAAGGATGGGATTACTACAATCTTTGCATTATTTTTCATGCTTTTCTAAACTTTTTTGCCACACAAATAATATAATGAAAGAATACTGGACGAGTCACCTTTATGTTACTTCCTAACATAGGGTGACTTTTTGCTATCTGCTCTTTATAGTCCTGTGTGATCAAGCTTTAGTTTATAATCTGAGTATTTTAAGACTTTATAACGACAACATAAGAGAGAAGGAAGGGCATTTCTGAAAACTGAAAAGCAACAATAAAGGCAGAAAAATCCCCCTTCGGCATTTTTAAAGCCTGCAACCAAAGATTTCCCTATTCTGCTTTCAGTTAATCTTCCCGGGGGTGTATAATCCCTCACAGGCCCAAAATTCTTCCAACGCATCTTTTAGATGGCACAGCAGCCAGAATCCTATTAACAGTTGCTGACCTCATTCATCAGGGTGCACGCCCATGAGGCTTCCTCGCTGGGGAACTAAACTCACCCTTTGTTTAGGTTTGTTCCACTGGTACTTCCTGAGACTTCCTGGCCCCCAAGAAGTAAGATGTTTCTGGCACCAAAGTCCCAGCTCCATCCCTCGACCCCACCAGATGAATTTGTCATCTTCACCGGAGCCCGCGTCTTCCTCCTGTGCCGCTGGCCCCTACATCCCGCCATGCAAGGTGCATTCTAATGAAACATTCTTAACGAGCTCATGAATCTCCCCCCAAACCACCTCCTCCTTGGTGGCTGACCCCACCCAAACCTAAAATGGGGTCTCACTTGAAGGAGTTTCTCTCTTCTCTCCCCCACAGTCACCAAGTCCTGCTTTCTTCCTCCAGGATGTTTTTCAAAGACACTTATTCTTCTTTGGCTCCAAGGTGAAGCCCTAACTACAGCTCTATTCCTTCTCATCTATAAAGAGTCTCACCAACCCCTGCACCAGCCTCTACACCATTCATGCTTCCTTCTTCCCCAGCCAGAGGGCGCTGCAAAAACTTAATCTGATGGTGCCTGCCTTCTTCCCTCCTCCGCAGCCTGGCTCCTTACCAGGGTCTTCACCCAGAGCCCTACCTACCTGGTTCCACACCCCCCAGTCCCCCTAAATAATCTCACACCATCTCCCACGCCTGCTGAGCTGCAAGGCTGCTCCCTGGACTTGCTTCAGCATCTGTTCACATCTACTCTCGGAAGGCTCTCCCCCCACCTCTGGGCTGGGCATTTCCTGGGGACACACTTCCCTCTCTCCCTGACTTTTAGGGGCTTGCATGGTATCCTGTGCATGTCTCTAAAGTTACAGCAACACACTATTAATTGTTAGGTGACTTCTCACCAGGTTGGGAGTGCAAACTCCCTGCAGAAAGGGAGTACCTCGTTCCTTTCACACCCCCAGTGCCTGGTGCAGAGCAGGTGTGTGACAACCACTAGTTCAACAGATAAGAATGACTCCATCAATGAGGGTGGGCCTGGGTGATGAGGGTGGGCCTGGGTGATGAGGGATATGGCAGCATCTCGTTTATTGGAAATAGAATAAACTGCTCCTTAGGAACCATCTTAGATGGATCCTACCCATGTATCTGCCCCGCCCCCAGGAGATTATAGCACTCAACCTAAAACTGGGCAGAATCCCACTTTCTCATTTCACCCAGCAGAAGTTCCCAGTTGAAGATGGACATGGTGGCTCACTCATGCCTGTAATCCCAGCATTTTGGGAGTCTGAGGTGGGCAGACAGCTTGAGCTCAGGAGTTCGGGACCAGCCTGGGCAAGATGGTGAAACCCTGTCTCTACCAAAAAAAAAAAAAAAACCAAAAAAAACCCCAGAAAATTAACCAGGCGTGATGGTGCGCACCTGTAGTCCCAGCTACTCAAGAGGCTGAGGTGGGAGAATCACCTGAGCCCAGGAGGCAAAGAATGCAGTGAGCTGAGATCGCGCCACTGCACTCCAGCTTGGGTGAGGAGAGAGACCCCGTCTCCAAAAAAAAAAAAAAAAAAAAAAAAAGGGAAAGAAAAGAAAGGAAGTTTCCAGTTGGTACACTTGGCTGCTCAAATAAGGGACTTAAAAAACAATACTCACACTGCTTGTGGTTCCTTAAATTTTCCTACTTGCTGAATGTGGTACATGAGGTCCCCGCCGTTGACGTATTCCATGACGAAGTACAGCCGGTCCTGTAGACCAAGGTTCAACACGTGAGCAGGGGTCCTCCCCAGCCCAGCCAACCAGCCAAGCGGCTCCCTTCACTCTTCACAGGCTGTGTTTTGCTTTCACATTAGTAAAATGGGGACTGGACAGGCAGATGTGCTCAGTTTAAAGCTCTTCAACATTTTTTTCCAAAGAAAGAATAAGTAATAAACCCTACTGCATGAGGGCCTTGGGAGGTGTCAAGTCATTACATAACCCTGAAATAAAGGCTCTCCATCAACATGTCTGTGCCTTCCGGTTACACATGCTCTCTATTATAGTAATGGCCTCGAACATTCTTCCCTATTTTCCTACGCATATAATAAATTTCTAAGTTAGGGATGGTGTGAGGAATCCACATTAGCCAATTATTTCATTTTAACTAGTGCTTCTCGATGGCCCAAATGTTTAAAGGCTGGTTTGCAGTGTCTGGGAGGCATGCCACACTAATGTAGTATTGTGTTTAAATGGATAATCCTGAAAGCACATCTCTTAGGCTTAGGAATTACACATGCTCAATGATATTTACTGGACATGGGACAGGGGACTCTAAATGGAGAGGCTAATCAAATGTTCTTTTGCATCTGTAATATACCCAAACACTGTTTTTCTATTTTCTCTGTCACTGGTATGCTAAGTGTTGGCCCCATGATGGGCATGTATCCGAGAACCAAATAAATCTACACATTTATGAGGACATTAAGCTGGGACAGACAGGGAGACAGAGGGGGTTAACAGTGAAATAATGACCTCCTCTCTCTGCTAGAAAACATCCCCATTTCACAGAGGCTGTTACACATTAAAGTGCTGCACAGGGAGGAAATAAAATGATGAAGCTGGTGTTAGCAGCCAGGAAGCAGCCCTGGGAGCCTTCGTCTCCAGCCTTCCTGTTATGAACTTTAATTTCATCTTCATTTCTTTCTTTTGTAGCTTTCCAGAGCTTAATCAGGGTAACCAGGGTTACAGGCTCTGGGCTGGGATTCAGAACTGTGGTTGACTTTCCCCAGCATGTTGCTCTTGTCTCCCTGGCGTGACTTGATTTGCAGTCGGTAGGAGCAGGAAGCTCAGGGTGCCGCCAGCGCTAGGCTGACTCGCAGTGGCCAGCGCCTGACTGTGGCCGCTGCTGCACACCTGGAGGATCCCCGTGGCTGCAAAGCCGTTTTGAGATTCTAAAACCCAAAAGCACTGAGAGGCACCTCCTAAGAGTTTTCAGAGAGAGGCATACGACAGAAAGCCGATCTCTTCATCCATGGGCAGTTGAAAACAGTAATAACCACATCAATTATAGCTACTGATTATGGAGTCATATTTATAATGGACAGCCTCCGAGGAGTGGAAGGACTGGCTTTGGCAAAACGTCTCACTGTGGTGCCATCTAAATGTCTATGTTTCTTATGGGCCACTTGCAAGCTCTGCAACGGACTGATTAGTGCTTTGGAATGTTCTTTTCTGGCCTCTATTTAGTGTTGCTTTATGACAGGGCTAAACAAACTTTTTCCATAAAGGGCCAGACAGTACGTATTCATATGTTAGGCCTTGAGTGTCTCTTGCAACGACTCAGCTCTGCTGTCCTGGTGCAAAAGGAGCTGTGGATGATAGGTAGAGGAAGGAGTGTGGCGATGTCCCAAAAAAGCTCTTTATGGATGTTGAAATTCGAATGTCACCTAATGTTCATGTGTCACGATGTATTACTCTTTGGATTTCTTTTCCACGACCTTTTCCTACACTCATGGGCCACAGAGAACAGGCCACAGTTTGCCAATCCCTGTTGCATGGCATTGAACAAGAACATACTCTTTTACAAAATCAAGTCTCCTTATGTTCCAATGCCAGTTTGGCAGCTGAACCCGTGGTCTTAAAAAGCCACAACTGTGAGTTAGTTTTTCGCTTTTGTATCCCCTAGTCTCAGCATAGTACCAGACATGAAGAAAACCTTTCATAGAAATGTTTGCTGAATTAAGGTCAGGTGCAGTGGCTCACACCTGTAATCCCAGCACTTTGGGAGGACAGCGTAGGGGGATTGCTTGAGCTCAGGAGTTCAAGACCAGCCTGGCAACAAGGTGAAACCCTGTCTCTGCTAAAAACACAAAAATTAGCTGGGCATGGTGGCACACATCTGTGGTCCCAACTAGTTGGTAGGCTGAAGCAGGAGGATCACCTGAGCCTGGGAAGTTGAGACTGCAGTGGGCCGTGACTGTGCCCCTGAGCTCCAGCCTGGGCGAGAGAGCAGGATCCTGTCTCAAAAAAACAGAAACAAATGTTTGGCCAGGCATGGTGGCTCATGCCTGTAATCCCAGCACTTTGGGAGGCCGAGGTGGGTGGATCACTTGAGGTCAGGAGTTCAAGACCATCCTGGTCAAAATGGTGAAACCCCATCTCTACTCAAAATACGAAATTAGCCACGCATGGTGGCACATGCCTGTAATCTCAGCTACTTGGGAGGCTGAGGCAGGAGAATCCCTTGAACCTGGGAGGCAGAGGTTATAGTGAGCCAAGATTACGCCACTGCATTCTAGCCCATGCAACAGAGTGAGACTTTGTCTCAAAAAAAAAAAAAAAAAAAAGAAAGAAAGAAAGAAACGTTTGCTGCATTAAATGGCATGAATGCCAAGCAGAGGACATTACAGAGAAGGCACACCCCCGCACACCCCTGATCTACCAGTGAGAGAGGTGGGAGGTTGTCCCCAGTCACCTCTGCTTGACATTGCATCACACCCTTCTCCAAAGGAACAAGGATGCTAAGAAGCTCTGGGCTCAGGTGTGCCCCTGAGAGCTGCACTGCAGAAATACACCCCAGGTCCTTACCACTGTCTGGAAGCAGGAGTGCAGCTGCGTCAAGAACGGGGGTTTGTCTAACAGGGCCAAGACCCGCTTTTCCACCATGGTGCACTCCACGTCATCATCCTGAATCACCACGTCCTTCTTCAGGATTTTGATCGCGTACAGTTCTTCTGTTCCCTTCCTGTCAGCAAGCATCACCTGAGAACACATTAAGAACAACCTGAACACTTTAAAGCACATCTCTTGGGGGCAGAGGGAAGGAACCAGGCCAGGTGATGGCTCAGTGACAGTTTGTGCACATTTGTCAATGTGAGATATAAAAATATTAAACTCTATGTGCAAATTTGGACATTCTACACATCACTACAAATTCAGTCCCTCCAGCATTTACATACCTTCAATGCCATTGAGATCTGTAAGTGGCCACACTGCCACATGATGACACTATTTTGGCTGCTAAAATGAATACTCAACATTCAGTATCAGGACTAGTTTGGAATTATGCACATTTTTCAGGAGTATCCTTAGAGTAAATGCTGACCAACATTTATAATCTCACAAGTCAAGAACCTAGGCTTGAAGTCAGTTCCTGGGTCTCTGATCAGCAGTGGGGCCACAGAAACCAAATGGAGATATACAGGCAGATTGCAAAGACTGCATGCCAGTATCTCTGAATGATTATATTTTGCTTGCTACAAGTTAACATTTAATTTTTAGTTGTGAAAACTCTTCATCAACCAGCACTCCTGAGCATCCCCTCTGTTCTGAACACTGAGAAATAGTAACATGGAGTGAACCGACTACAGTTTTTTGGATGCAGTTGTTTTTAATGAAGTAGAAACCATCTGAAGACTGTGCACTCTGATCTGAGAGATCAAACAGATGCCTCTTTATCAACTAAGATGAACCCTAATGTCAGAGGCATTCGAACCGGAGCGACTCCATCTTGAACAAGGGATGGGAAAAATAAGGTTGAGACCTGCTGGGCCACATTCCCAGGAGGTCAGGCATTCTTAGTCGCAGGATGAGATGGGAGGTCAGCAGGATGGGTATCATAACATACAGGTCAGAAAGACCCTGATGAGAAAACAGGCTGCAGTAAAGAAGCCAGCCAAAATGCACCAAATCCAAGATGACAACGGAGGTGACCTCTGACTACCCTCACGGCTCATTAGATGCTAATTGTCATACATTAGCATGTGAAAAGACACTCTGTGCACCCTGACAGTTTACAAATGCCATGGCAATGTCCGGAAGTTACCTTATATAGTCTAAAAGATGGATGAACCCTCAGTTCCGGAAATTGCCTGCTCCTTTCCCAGAAAACTCATGAATAATACATCCCTTGTTTAGCATATGATCAAGAAATACCTGTAAGTACGCTCAGTCAAGCAGCCCATGCTGCTGCTGTGACTACGAAGCAGCCGTTTGTTTCTTGACTTCCCTAATAAACCTGCTTTCACTTTATTCTACGGGCTCACTATGAATTCTTTCTTGTTTTAGGTCCAAGAACCCTCTCTTGGGGTCTGGATCAGGATCCCTTTCTGGAAACACTAAAGTTAAGGAAACAGTTACCTATGGGTTGAGGGTTCAGGGCCCAGCTGGCATGGCAAATTTTGAAATTCCTCCAGCTGCAAGATGAACCACTCTTGTGAAGCTCCCTAACAGTAAGAACTATCAGGCCCCTCCTAACTCTGATTTACAACTCAGACCACTATGACTCAGACTGGACTGAGGACTGGTCTTACAAACATTCTTTTTGGTGAAGCAACTGTAGGCCTTAAGCCAGATTCGGCAGCTTGCAAAGCCAGCTCACAAACTGCTTTTGTGTCCTGTGGTTCACCTTTTGATGTAAAGAGCCAAATTCCACCTTTAAAATTTTTTTTAGATGGAGTCTCCCTCTCTTGCCCAGGCTGGAGTGCAGTGGTACAATCTCAGCTCACTGCAACCTCCACCTCCCAGGTTCCAGTGATTCTCCTGCCTCAGCCTCCTGAGTAGCTGGGACTACAGGCACACATCACCATGCCCGGCTAATGTTTATCTTTTTAACAGAGATGGAGTTTCACCATTTTGGCCAAGCGGGTCTCAAGCTCCTAGCATCAAGTGATCCACCTGCCTTGGCCTCCCCAAGTGCTGGGATTACAAGCATGAGCCCCCATGCCTAGCCAAATTCCACCTCATTTTAATGCTAAGTCCCCACCCCAAAGTGAACACGAGATGCATGTTGCATATATGTTCATCCGCTGTGCCTGTGCTCAGCTTCCCGCAGCAGCTTTCTCCCCAGACCTGTTGAATATGAATGACTCGATTGTGTAACACGGACCCTGTGAGGCATAAAACCCAACCTGCCCTTTCTCTCTTCAAAGATAGGGCACCTTCATTTCACACCACAGACTTTCTTTTTCGGGTTTGCAAACTGCTATCACCAATAAACCTCTCCTATCATTTAGCCATCCTGGTGGCCTTTTGAACGACTGTACAAATCACAGAGACCTAATGTGTTGTTCAGGAAACCTCAGGGAGACCATAATTGATTTGAGATTCTCTGCAGAAGCCCCTCCAATTTGCAGATGACCGTCTTCTTACCTTTCCAAAACTCCCTTTCCCCAGCACCATGAGGAAATTGAAGTCGGTGAGTTTCACTCGGTCAAGGTTGTTGGAAGGTTGTTTCCTGTCTTCAGAGGGACTGATGACTTTGTTGCCAGCAGGGCCAAGCTTGGCTTTCTAAATAACAAGCACAAATGGGAAAAGTATGGGTCATTTTTCCGGGGAAAGAGTGACAGAAACCATAGCACTGTAACTGAGTGTGACGTCTGCTTGGAGGTGGGATGGCGTGAGAAAAGGAAATAGGGTGAGGACTGAATAATCTGTTCAGATATCAGTGGCGACACTCGCTCTGTGGGGAGAGTCTGCAAAGTAGCAGAAAATTGCTCTATCAAGAGACATCTCTGCATAGTTAACCTAGAACTGACGCGTGGGGATTCGCGTACAGCTGGTTGGTTGTAATTCTAGCATGCACCAGTTGACTTCTTGGGAAAAACAGTGCTTCGGGTCCATTAACATAATAAAGGAAATAAACTGCGTACTGATGCTTTTCGTGTTTGTAGATTTCACAATTTAAAATTAATCTGCATGAAGGAAACTTGTACCTACACCAAAAGGCAGGAAAATGTTCTCTGGAGAGGAATGCTTAAATGGCAAGCTATGGGGATGATTTATTGCTATTTTGAAATGTGCAGTAAGAACAGGGGTTGGTGTTTTTCCTTTCCATTTCTTTAAATCAAGAGTTAAACTCACGAAAAGAAATGGTGATATGCGTGAGAAGGGCAAGGTGCCCTTTGTGCCTGGCGGGCGAGCTACCAAAGGGGTTTTCATAAGTCCTGGAGGGACCCCTGCCCTCGTGACTCTCACCAGGCTCTCGGAATCCATGTCAAAGGCAAAAGGTAAAAGGGCTCGGGAGAAAAGGGAAGGCAAGTTAAGGAGCACTGGAGAAGTCTGCAGTGGGCCGAGTCTCCCAGCACAAGACTCTGAATTTTGAATATCTGCCTGACGGGAAGGAGCTGGTTGTAGGAAGCATCAGCTGCTGATAGGTCCAGGACTCTGGCTGGGCCTCCACAGCCACAGCACTGAGACCGAAGGCAATGACTCTTGCCTTGGGTACATTCTTTTTCTTTTTCGAGAAAGAGTCTCACTCTGTCGCCCAGGCTTGTGTGCAGTGGTGCAATCTTGGCTCACTGCAACTTCCGTTTCCCAGGTTCAAGGGATTCTCCTGCCTCAGCCTACTAAGTAGCTGAGATTATAGGCTCAAGCCACCATGCCCAGCTAATTTTTATATTTTCAGTATAGATGGGGTTTCACCATGTTGGTCAGGCTGGTCTCGAACTCCTGACCTTGTCATCTGCCCTCCTTGGCTTCCCAAAGTGCTGGGATTACAGGCGTGAGCCACCGTGCCTGGCTGCCTTGGATACATTCTTAAAGAGAGGGTGCAGCACCTCCCTCTCCAGTGCAGCAGACCTGAGCTCCAGAGCCCTTGCTATGAACTCACTGAAGTCAACACCTTTGTGATTACCAAGATGATGGTGAAGGAGGTAAGGAAGGCACTCAAGGGGCTTTACTATGGATCAGCGGCAGAGAAGGCTTACAAGAAGTCACCTGTTGTCCCTCTTTGAGCACCACCATGCCTTCATCCCACAAGTACTGACTGAGCCCCCTTGTGCTCTCTAGGAGAGCCTCTGCATCTGCAGGAGGAGCCCCTGCCGATACAGGAATTCAGCAGGACCAGTTTCACAGGATACAGGTCACAAAGACCCCCGGCATAAAACAGTATGTGCTACAGAAGCCAGCCAAACCCCACCAAAACCAACATGGCAACGAAAGCAATCTCTGGTCTCCTCACTGCTCACTGTATGCTAAGTGCCAAGACAGTCTACAAATGCCATGGCAACATCTGGAAGTTAGCCTCACGGTGTGAAAGGGGAATCCTCAGTTCTGGGACTTCTCTGCCCCTTTCCCAGAAAACTCATGAGTGATCCGCCCCTTGTTTAGCATTCGATCAAGAAATAAACATAAAGACAGCCAACCAGCAGCCTTCAGGGCTGCCCTGCCTAAGGAGTAGCCACCCTCTTATTCCTTTACTTTCTTAAAAAACTTGCTCTCACTTTACTCTGTAGGTTTGCTCTTGAATCCCCTCCTGCACAAAGCCAAGAAGCCATGCGGCCTGTTAAGCTGAACCCCAGTTTTGGGGCTCACCCTGTGACACTGCCAGCTGTGTCTGGATTCCCAACCCTAACAGTGCTCAGCACAGGACATGCACTCAGCTTTCTGGATGAACAAATACAGAAATGAAGCCCAAATGTGCTCATCAGATGCTATGCCGGTAAATGACGCTTTTCTCTTATAAGAATAACTTGCTTGTGGACGGGCGTGGTGGCTCACACCTGCAATCCCAGCACTTCCGGAGGCTAAGGCAGGTGGATCACGGGCTCAGGAGATCAACACCATCCTAGCCAACATGGCGAAACCCCGTCTCTACTAAAAATATAAAAATTAGCTGGGTGTGGTAGTGTGTCCCTGTAATCCTACCTACTCGGGAGGCTGAGGCAGAAAAGAATCGGAGGTCGGCAGTAAGCCATGATCATGCCACTGCACTACAGCCTGGCAACAGAGTGAGACTCCATCTCAAGAAACAAAAAGAACTCGCTTGTACAGGAATCAAGTCTCAGGGCTGGCCTACATGCTCTGATGAATTCAGTTGGCCCCATTTGGCCAGAGACATTAAAACATGAGGGAGAGATGGCCCTGACATTTTTGCTTCCAGACTGAAAGTGTGAAACACAGTTGAGCTCTACCTCTCTTGGTAGCATGTAGTGGAAACACCTGTAAACCTGAGGCCACTGGAAACACAGAAGGCCTGAAAAGATAAAACGTGAACTGCAATGCTACACACACTGGCCTGTCCCCTTTGGCAGGGCCAGCCCAGCCTTCTACACACTGGCCCCAGCAATGATTCTAGGTTGATAAATTTCCTAGGCTGTGTCTAAATTTAATTTTTTAACATTTTTTGAGATGGAGTTTCACTCTTGTCACCCAGGCTGGAATGCAGTGGTGTGATCTTGGCTCACTGTAACCTCCACCTCCTGGTTCAAGTGATTCTCTTGCCGCAGCCTCCTGAGCAACTGGGATTATTGGCGCCCACCACCACACCCAGCTAATTTTTTCGTATTTTTAGTAGATACGGGGTTTCACCATGTTGGCCAGGCTAGCTTTGAACTCCTGATCTGCCTGCCTCAGCCTCCCAAAGTGCTGGGATTACAGGCATGAGCCACTGCGCCCTACTGGCTGTGTCTAAATGTAAAAGAATAGATAGGAAGCGCAAATTTGAGATGGGAATCCTGACTATGCCAGGATTAATAAGAACAAAGTAATCAGAAAGAGGCACAGATGAATTATATTTTCCCAGGATTCACAGAACATCTGAAAACACCCAGACGCAACTGACTGATCTGAGGTGCTTGAAAACCATGTTCACCTGGGTGAAGTTGCTATTCATACCACTAACAAATACCCAGCTTCCATCTGTAGCACGTGGTTCTACCCAGCTATGCCTGACTCCTGTGATATTCCAAGACAGTCACTTCTCCTTTCTCCTTTGACACTTGACCACCACAGTGAGGGGATACGAGCTGACGCAGTGAGGAGCCTCCAGACAGGCAGTGGGCTTTCACACACATTGCCGTCTACCACCTCACCTGCAGACATAACCTAACGCCGGCCTTGTGAGTTTTATACTGTGATCTTAGTATGGTTATTAGGACGGGACATTGCCCACAGTCAGGCTCAAGGCTGACAAAAGCATTTTTACATTCAAGTACTTCTGAACTGGGCTGCAATATCACCTTGGCCTCGGGCCTCAAATCAATCACCAGGTTTGGGGGGAACATCCACAAAGGAGGCACCTGCTCCCGCAAGGTGGAGCTGGGCAGAGGAAACCACGGGCTTTCCGATCTGCCTGGGCAGATTCTTTTCAGCAGGAAGCAGAGCTGAGTTTCTAAAGCAGAGCTGAGTTTCTGGTAGAGCAGGCAGCTGGTTGGGAAGGAGACAGACCGGTATGTGGGGTCCAGAGCAGGGTGACATATTCATGTCAGGGAGCTGGCTTCTCAGTGGCCTGGCCCAGAGGGTCAGAATGGATTTCTCCCCAGCCCAAGCCAGCCCTGAGATCAGAGCAGACCCAGCATCTTCACGCCTTGTTTCCGTGACAGAGCGCACTTCCTGAGCTGTCTCCCTGCTGCCACCTGCAGGCCTTGCTGCAAAGGACACAGAGCCATCTCCATCGCCGAGTTTTTGAAAGCAGCTCTTTGATCATAGGAAACTCCAGGGTATGACACTCTCAGGGGTCTGGGCCTGGCTTTGAGCAAGTTCCACTTTCAACCAGGGTCTAATCAATGCTGGGGTTGGAGGAGCAGCTATGTCACTGGGGGTGGGGAATGCCTGAGGGCACAGGGACAGGAACCACATAGGACTTCCAGGTGGGCAGGGGCGCTAGGGCTGAGGAACAGATGCTGGGTGGGGCTTGGCCTCCAGACCGCCAGTCAGTGCCCCTCTGTCCTGCGGAAGACCCCGGCCTCCCTGGCCTGCCGTTTCTCCTTCACCCCCTAGCCTGGCTGGCCTCTCCCACTCCTTCAGGTCTCAGCTTAACTGCTATTTCTTCAAGGAAACTGAGACAGAAAAAATACAGGGTGGTAGCAGGAGAATAGAAAATCCCAGGCAGCAGTTTCATGGGACTAGAAAAAAATAAAATAAAATAAAATAAAATAAAATAAAAAAAACGTGAAATAACTGCATACGCTGGGGGCCAACAAGACCCTAAAAATCAGGATATGGGCCAAGCTGGCTTAGACCAACTGGACCCAACATGGTGCTGGGTTTGACCCAGTGTCACCTGGGACCTCACTGTCTCCTCATTAGCATCCTCAGTCCTATTCCCACCAGTGCCATGACTGGTCCAGGAAGACCAATATCTGGTGTACAAACGGGTGGCACCACATTTCTGAGAAATCTCCACCTATTTCCGGGAATCTTCAGGACTATTACTCCCCCTAAAGAAACCCATAAAGGTAGCAGGCCCCCAAACCTCCGTGCACACAGCGCGCTCTGGAGTATGCCTGCCTTTCCCTTTCTTGTGTACTTTTTGCTTTGCAATACATCTCCATATTTTCAGTATTTAA